ACGCGTCAAAGTTTCTCTCTCTCTCTCTCTCTATACTTTCTCCCTTTCTCTTCCTCCTTCTTTCCTTATCTCTCTCTCCCTCTCCCCCTTTCTCTCCCTCTCTCTTTAATTTTCTCTTTCTCTGTAATTTTCAAAACTCTTAATAATCTCTTTCGAGATTTGTGTAAGTGGAAATTCAATCGGCGGGAAAAAAAGAACGCAGAGAGAGAGAGAGAGAGAGAGAGAGATTCATTTCTTGATCGGCTATCGCCGATCGTGCACTTGGAACGATCAAAGGAAATCATCCACTTCGTATGATTCGCAAATGTTTGTTTATCTCTGTCGCTAATATGCGCTTGATGTGTGCGCGCGCGCGCACGAGTATAAATATCAGCTGACTCGCGTGCAATTAAATCCAAATAATGTTTCCTGGATAAAAAATCCCATCGGGGAGGAAGGAAGCTGGGGAGAGGGAGAGGTGAGGGAGAAGGGGAGATCCTCTCTTGAACGGGATTACATATTCTCGGTGATTGAAGAGAAATATTTGATCTCGCCGGGGGAAAACGGCCTTCATATTTGCTCTTGTTGCACGATGGAGGACCTCGCGCGGATTCGCATGATTTTTTAGAGCCGGCGCTTGTAATTAATTCCAAATTGACCTGCGCGAACGGGATTTGCATTTCGCATGGGACCGCCGTCGCGGCGGCGTCCCTGCGCCTCCCGATAAAAGAGAGATAGGAGAAGATAGATAGATAGTTCGATAAGGTGAGAGAGAAAGAGAGACTTCATTAATGATACGTAAGCGATCGATCGTCTCATTATTAATAAACTCTAAGTCTAAGCTAATTGTGTGTGCAAATCGGCGCGTTAACCTTTCACGTGCTCGTCTGCGTTCCCGACATCGACTCTCCGGAGGGCTCTCATTCACGACGGAGCAACTCCGAGTCCTGTCGCGACCGGCACCCTCCCCCCCCCCCTCCTGAAGAAGCGTATCTCGCCTGCGGCCGCGCATTTCGGGCAATTAATATGGCGTTCATAATTAATCGACTGGTCATTTAAATTAATATCATCTAATATTAATGTCGGTTAATATGATTACGATTAATTTCACATTATCGCTAAATATTAACAATAATTAATTAGCCCCCGCTCGGCTGTGTATCGGAGAGGGGGCAAGGGTGCAGTCAATAAAAATCTAACTCGCGCGAATCCGCCGATCTCGTCGACTTCCGACGTTGTTCGTGGGCGTCCTCCGCGAGAGCGACGGCGGACACGACGGTCCTCCTCACCGGTGTAACGGAGGAACGTACGTACGCATTTTCTTCGCGCGCTCGTCCCGATAAACCAACCCCTAACTCCGTTCTACATTTTCGCTCCGCTCGGCTTCTATATTTATCGCGCGACCATCTTCCCGTCCCTCCCTCCCTCCGGCCCTCCCGCTCAGCCAGTGTGTCCACAGCAGCTGAAACTCGGCCAGACACTTTTGTACGCGACCCTCGGTAAGAGAAAAGAGTAAAAAAAAGAAAATGGAATAAAAAAGGAATAAGAAGAGGAAGAGAGAGAGAGAGAGAGAGAGAGAGGAGAGAAAAAGAGAAAAATCACACAAACCACTCCGGTTCTGATTCCGGCGCTCGCTCTCGTCCAGGCTGAAGAAACAACGCGCTGCATGAAGCCCCACCGGGTCCACAGGACCCGTCCTGTGCCCCATGGCGATCTTCCTGCGGGACTCCGACGGAAAAGAACGGCCGGTCGACCCGGTCGTTTCATTGGGTTTTCCGACGTCGGTCGACCAGTGGCCAACATGTGATCGCATGAGTACGACTCGGTGGACGATAGGGGCCGACCTTCCGTCACTAAACTCTGACGAGTGAACAAGGCGGCAGGGTGGGGGGGGGGCGACGAAGGGGAGGTAAGGAAGCTCTTCGGGTCTCCTGTCCCCGTAATGGAGGCAGCCCCCACGGCGGGGCTCACCTGCCGCCAGGTGCGACTCCCGACGACTCGCCATCTGCATGAGGGGGGCCCGTGACGTACCGGGGGCCGTTTCCCTTTCGCTTTCCTGGTACGGCTACGTGCTAGCGCGTGATTAACGCACGCACACGTGTGCGTGTGGGCACCGTGAAATTCAGCACGCGACGGAGGATGTGCGTCACGGTGGATGGGCGAGCGAGCGTTCGACCCCGTCAAGTAGAAGACTCGACGCGGGCGACAGCGAGAAATAATGAGCGCGATTCGGTGACACAATAGCTCTTCGAGTCGCTAATGACTGATGGTATGATTAGAAGGCGAGGTGATTGGGGGGAGGGGAGCAAACGGGAGGTAGAGCGTGGGCGATCGAAAAAATCGATTTATTAGAAATTCGAAGGAATCGATTTCCTAAAAGTCGACCCAAAAATCGCGTACTGGGCATTTAAACATGTTTTCTTCTTATTTTATACATGGAAAATATTGCAGTAAAAATTGCCACGTAAATTTCGTAATGTTGGACCATACTGGAATTATAACTGGAATCGTGATGTATGTTGTAATCTTTAGTTTTTTTTTCGCTAGGAGAGACGTGTGCACGATTATATTTCCCAGCTATTCCTGTGCATCTATAATCGTGATTCCATTTCTGGAGCTGTTCTTTTCGCTACAAGTGAAACCTTGTCCGTCGAATTCTGTTGGGAATTATGGATCATCTGAAGCGGGTTTCATAATGGTAATGAAGGTGTTCCGAGTATAATCTCTTGCTTTTGCTCCTCCAGTTGATTTTCTCCACGTTCGACGGTGTTTTATCAACAATAATTAAATAGCGCGCATTTTACATGTCCCCCGCGATGTGCAATTTCCGTCGGCGATTTGCTACTCTACCACGTCCATTTGGATTTGCGTTTAGCTGCTGATCGATTACCTTTTGAATACTTTTCACAGAGAAAGCGAGCGAATAATTGAAACGTCGATGTATAGGATAGATAAATTATTGAATTAATGTGTCATAAAGATTATTCATTTGGCCACGCGACGTCCCGAGTCGAAATTTTGCTTCCGCATTAATAAATTTATACTTCAGAATTATTATTATTGTTCTTACTATTATTATTATTATTACTATTATATCTAACGTTCGATTATTTCAATGTTTTACCTGCATTTAGTTTCTTTCTTTTTTTTATTTTACTAAACAATGTATTAATTGTGTAATTTAACTGCAGATGAAACATAAACGCAATAAGCAAATATTAAATAATCTCACGAAGACTAATGAGAAAATTAATGGGGAAATATAATTAATAGATAGCAATTTTTGTATATCTCTTCATAGTCTCTTTATTATTTATCCTTTTCATTGGCGTCGGAGAGATATATGTATATGTATGACATATGTGCATCGATATGTTAAAAAATATATGATATATTACTGTCCGCATCCTGCTGTCCGTATCCTCCGTTCTGGCTTCCCGATTCAACATTCAGCTGCTGGCTGCACCGTCGTCGTCGCGTCCCGGACACTAGCCCATTTCATTGAATTAATTTCATTGATATTCGCATACATGCGATTCGATGTGAAAAAACACGCGTTAATTAATTAACGCGACTCTCTCGTGAAAGTCCAATCAAATATTTCAACCAGCCGATGAAACAGTTCTCGTAAAATGTAGTGTAACGCTCGGTTGCGGGGGAAAAAAATGCGTAGTGCGCGAAAATACCGAGACAATACGGGCAAGAAACGCAGGCTCACTCTTTTCCATCAATCGTCAACAGTCGTTGCCCGGTACCGAACGCCGAGCGATCGCACGATCAAAACAATCCGGACCTCACATGTAAACCCACCTTCGCGCGTGTTCATTCAGTTTCGAGCCGACGAGCGGCACGCACACCGCGGGTTACGTGTATCGATACACTCCCCCCTCCCCCCTCCGTGTCGCATGATAAAAATATTTCGTCGGCCTTTGAAATATTTGATTGAACGCTCGTCGGCATCGCGTTATTTAACACGTGTGTCTTCGATCGAATCGCGTCTACGCGAGTGTCAGTGTCAAGTGTCATGGCGGAGCCACACACCACAGGATGCTGGATCGTGAGACCAAGATGGAGGACGCAGGACGCCATGACGTGGGTAGAGATACATCATATATTTTTAAGGTATGTGTTAGACAGGATTTTTGATTAGACAGGAGGTTTTTGACGAACGCGCGAAATTACCGCAAGAGAGATACCCGAGTCGAAATTTGGGCCGGTATTCGTGGTCCGTCGTCATTTAACGAGCGATTATAACTTCATGAGTCTTCGATTATTCGTCGACTTGTACTTATTACATTATTTCACATGAGAAACGATGATTCAAGTAACTATTTAAAAAATTGTCAAGATTCTTGATAATTCACAGCTATGAATACCGATCTGCAAACATAATATAAATTTTGCAAGTTGTATTTTTCACGTCTAATAATTTTTGAACTGCGGACGCAATCTTGTTTCCATCCACCAACGGTTTTTTCCATTTCTGTTTGGTTTTGTTATCGTACGGAATCTACATTTAATTCTGTACTCGCAAACACACATACAACATTATTGGACGCATAATTGTTGTACTTACAGCTTCTGATCAGTTCTTTTCGTCAGAAGAAAAAAGAAAGAGAGATTATGAGAATGCAAACTTGTTGCTCTTTTTATTCATTTGCCTATCAATTTTTATTAAATTATTTAATATTTGCTCGTCTCACTGTCGGCAGCTGAATAAGTCCTATGAACAATACCATTTGACCGAATATAAGAATAAATATTAAATTTAGAATAAATATTGAGAAGGCAGATAGAATGTATATAAAAATCGAGTGTTAAACAATTCTCTTGAACGAGCGCTTCTTCGAGCTTCTTCAACACGCAGCAAACAGCAACGAGAGAGCGGCCCGTTGCAGTATCCAGGTAGGACAATAGAATTATACCTCGGGATTCTTCATGGATCCTTCAAGTTCGGCGGAATTTGCAGGGTTGATGTGGTAAGTCAAAATTTCGACTCGGGACGTGCGTTCCACTACGTTACGCGCTTTATTTCATTTGTACATTTACACACATACACACAAGGACTCTCGTTCGGCTTGTCGCGTGGATTACTTTGCGTTTACCATTGCTACAATGAACGAACGAACGGACTAACGAGTCACACAATTACACGAATACGTAAGCTGCAGCAGCTTCAGTCGTACTCGGCTCCAATGGTGATGCTCATATCTTCAGACACGATTTTCGTCTGGTGGTACCATCTATTCGTGTCCAGAACGACTGCAATAAGGGTACACGGCGTATATACGTGGAAAGAAAAAGGAAGGAAACAGAGATACGTCGAATTTGCGTCCGGAATTTCAAGTAAAACGCGGCCGGGGCGCCTGCCGAGAACGCGACAAACGTCGAACGTGACTCTCGAACGGCGGGCCGCGTTCGTTACTAAATACAAGATAGAAGAGAGAGAGAGAGAAAGAGGCAATCGATTTTATTTGCAATTAATTCGGTCGTTAGTCATCGAGCGTTTTTTTATGGAACGAACGGGCGACTCACTTATTTCGCCGGACTGCACTATCACTTCCAGCCTCTTGCACGTATAATGACACTCCCGCGGCGGCTCCAAAATCCACAATTTTTCACCCTTTATCTGCGCCTGCCAGGAGGGATGCTCCACGTCGTCCACCTCGAAAGATTTCATATTTTCCGCAATGCGTTATCACAACGACACAACGTGGCCGAAAAGGAAAGAAAAGAAAAGTCGCCCGTCGGCCCTCGGCGCGCGCCCGCGTTAATTACGATCGCGGAAATTACGGCAAGGCGAACGCGAAAGCGAGGTTAAATTAACAAATCAGTACTCTCGGTTCCCCCGGTTCGTCCGGTTTTTCACCTCGCGATTATTCACCGACGTTCGTTGGCCATTATCCATTGAAACGATCTCGACAGTAGTTTTCTCTTTCGGCGTGAAAAATCCCCGAAATCCGCGTCTGGTGGTGTCAAGTTAATTTCGACGATTTTCATTACCCGCTCGAACGGCACGCGCGCTTTTTTCGCGAGACTTACGAATTACACTTACGTGCATCGGGGCGCCGTATCCGTGGCTGCCCATGAAAATCCAATCCGTCTTCTCGCTCTCGGCGGTCACGGGGAGGAAGTACGGCCTCTGATAGTGCTGTCTCAGTATAGCGCCGATCTTGTCGTCGCAATTGCTCCTGTGAGACGATACAATATGGAAAAAAAAGAAAATGAAAAACGCACCTACCTGTTTCCAGCCTCTCAAATCAAGTAATATTTTTATCAGTTATATCAATAAGTTATAGTAATAAGTTGAGTGTATTTTAATAGCTCGTAGTACTCACTTGAACGCAGGAATATCTTAATTTATAAATAAACTACTGAATGTAAATGGTTATATAAAAGTTTAACTGGCAATTGTTTTAACATATATAAATAAATATCTATTTATAAGAAAGAAATATATTGTGTTTATGTAGTCAACTATATTTCTACTTCTAATAAATATTTACTAAGTAGCATAACCATTTCACTCGGATCAAGTAAATATTATTTGAACAGTAGCGCATTTTTTCCAGTGCAGATATTATAGATAATATACGTATAAAAGTGCCGGATTCAAGTAAATAATGACTCCAATATTAGCACATTTTTACTTAGGTTAAATAAATTTTACTCGGATCGAGTAGATATTTTACTTGAATAATTTATTTAGGTCAAATAAATATTACTTGACCCAAGTAAAAAGATTTGCTAAGGAACATTGGAGTAATTATGCACTTCAGTCTAGAACTTCTAGCACTTCTTTTTTGTTTAAGGAAATGTTGCCCGCGCGAAGTTTCTCACTTCGATCTTCCGTCTTATTTCCCCGTGATGCATTTCCTTCCTCCCGGGAGATCGCCGATCCCGCTACCGGAAGCGAGATGTGTCACCGGGCTATCGATCACAATTTTGAATCCGCGGCGCCGATCGTCCGTGCTGTGTATGACGCGCAAAAGTGCTTTTCCCCGTAAGCCTGTTAGCGGAACGAGCTGTACGCGCATGCCGGTGATTCGAGGAAGCATCGGAAGCCATGAAAATGCGCCTCGTGCTTAAGTTTCCAGTCGCGATTACCATAAAGTCCACGGTCGCCTCGCTCTTCTTTTTCGTCCCGATGAGCTCATCGAATTGATCGCGTGATAACAGGGCGATTTGCGAAATCCGCCGAGAGACGGTATCCCCGGGGCATGACGTCACCCGAGACCGAAATAAGTGGTCCTCCTCGGTAACGAGATTATCTCCTTTCCAGTTGACGTAACAATAGTCGCGATTTGAGCACGATTTTTCGAGCCAGCCTTGATTTTGGTTCTCGTAGGTTTCCTTTCTCTTCTATTTCTTTTACTTTTGTGTATTTTCACCACCTAAGTCCCGGTTATACTTATAGTATGTCTAACAAGAGTGTGACCGACATAATTTTTAAACTATTTATTATAAAAAAGTGAAAAAAATTACCTCTTTTCCTCTTGAAGGATCCAATCCTGACTTTTATTTTGAAATCACTTTTTTCGGCAGATGGTATTAACGCTTTTTGGTAAATTGAGACCATCTTCTTGGCATTCAAATTCTCCATGGGGTAGACCGAGGCGAATTGTATCACAAGGAGAATCGGATCAATATCAGCTTTAAGATAGTTTATCGTTAGTTTTTTAGTCTCAAACGAACCGTTTAACGTGCCAATTATCTCCGTGCGCTTCCTCTGAACTCATTTGAAAGAAAAAAACTAATGACAACTGTCTCCAAGTTTATATTTATCCGATTCACCTCGGTCCATCCCACACTCCGAAACTCGCTATAAAATACGTTGCTTTTAGTAAAAATTGGACAATGACTGGGTGACTCTTTGTATATTGCGTCGTAGAGGAAGAGCCCTTCAACCTGCTCTTTCAAAAGTTTCCGATGTAACGGTTTTCAAACAAAAGTTTGCCCGGTCACGCTCTTATCAGACGGACTGTATTTTTCCAATCAAGATAACTCCAATACTAATCTGAGGCGCGTAGGTGATAAACGGACCGATCCCTTAATTGAAAACGACGGTGAAGTAATAACGAGCTTTTTAACGGATTAAACGGCGAGCGGAAGTTGCTTACCATCCGACGTACCAGGGCTTCGTGCCCTTCTCCATCGTGGCTCGGCTGGTGCTCATGTCGAAGACGTCCTGCAGGCTCTGAAACTCCGTCTTGTACGGAAAGAACTGGCAGTTGGCGTTCTCGCCGTGATAGAGCGTCTTGAGAAACGAGAAGGAGAATACTTTGGGCGCGGTCCAGTTCACCATGGCGTCCATGATCACCACCGGCTTGCCGGAATACGCGTAGCTGATCGCAAATAAAGCGGCTCGTAATCGTGGAGGAGACGAATTCGCGAGTCGATCGCGTCGTGATGAAATTAATCGCACGATAACGAAATTAATTAAATCGCAGCAACTTAATTGTCACGAAAACATACGGGCACATATTTACAAGCATCGACCGCGCATGATTGACTCCTCGGGGGATCTGAGGCGTTCGTCGCGAACAAATTAATTAATTAATTACGTATTAACAACGGAGACGGTGACGAAATTTCGTGAGCGTTAACCGGGACGAATCCGCGCGTTGGAAAATGAATTTAATCACGCGCGAGCAAATTCGCGGGTTGTCATGCGAGGCCGACGATCGATTCTTCGAGGGCGGGCCGTCGCACGTAAATCAGCGACGTTAACGATACGCGGATAACTACTACTACTACTACGTTGCACAGTACCGTTGCTCGAAAATCGCTGGATCGATGGCGGCGAGCTTGTCAACCTGTTGAACGTCCTGGCAGATCGAGCAGTCTTCCGGCGGCCGGAAAACTTTTTGCGTAAACGAGGGCACCGTTATCAAGCACTGAAAAAGCGATCGACACCGTCACACCTGATCCGCCGGATCCCCCCCATTCATCGCTCATGGATTAATCTCCGTGGAAATTAATCTCTAATCCCGGACTTGCCTTTTCGCATTCCTCCGGTCTATCCGTTCTCGAGGAGATGTGTTAAAAAAAAATTTTCAGAAAGCGGAAGATACGAGGAAGCTCCGATGCGGAAATTAATTTCCGCCTCGTGATTCGGTTAGACAAAGAGAGCGATCCGCGATTTGTCATCCGCGATTAGGAGAAGAAGGGCAAGGGGGAAGAGCCGATTTGAAGTTTCCGGGACGAGAGAAGAATGCAATCCGCCCGAAATAGAGGCGCGAAGAGGTAAATCGGACGGTTGGAAGTCTCCCTCTCTCTCTCTCTCTCTCTCTCACCTTGGTGTGTCGATAGGTCTGCGCGCGATTCCGGGCGACCTGCACCGTCATCCACGTGGCGATCAGCAAGATCCACAGGTGCCTCGCGCGTAGCTTCATCCGCGTCGCTTTCAATCGGGAACGTGCGCGAAGCAGCCGCCACGCTCTAACGGGCAGGCCCAGCTCGTCGATTTTCCCCAATAACGACCGCAATTCCTTCTTCGCGAGGTCCACGGATTTTTTCGAGGATTCCACGGAGACCGCGTTGTCGCTCGCGCTCGCCATCGGGAAAATTTCCCCGAGTGCTCTTCGCTCCCGCGAAATTAACCCCGCGGGGAAGAAACTTCCTCTCAAGTTGTGTAGCTAAGCGCGACGGCGAGAAAGAAATTTCAGCGCGCGTCGAATCAATTTTAATTTACTTTCGCGTGTAACGGGAATTCAATTAATTTCTAATTAATCATTTAGAGTAATTATATATCACATTAATAATTTATTTGTGTTGTGTTAATGATAATTTAATTTTTTTGTCTGGCAAGTTTATAATAATTCGTGGAGTCTCTTTTGGAGGAAAATTCGGGAGGATTGAAAAACGCGATATCTCGCGGAATAAAACGAAATTGTCCCCTTGCGGAATCCGCGAGCGAATTAGGATTACGATTACTGCGGTTGGAGTGCGCAAGCACTGGTGCTCCTGATGGCCGGCGTGAAACTGCGAGAGGATCCTTACCTGCTGCTCCAGCGAGCCAAGGATCCCCTCTCGCATTCGCGCATGGGGGTGGAACGAGTGATTTGTTCACGCGGCTGTGAAACGAGAACCGAGCCGGGAACGAGCCACCGATTGGTTTCGATCGAATCTGTTTAAAGCGATACGAACCGTCGAGCGGGCTATTTCGCGAGCGTTTAAACCCGCTTTCTACCTTTCGTCCTCCGTGTTCGTGGAAAATCCCGGAGTCCACTCGAGATTCTCGAAATACGCGTCGAGAGATGAGGACTCGAATGAGCGGACGAGAAAGTTGCAAATATCAGAAATCAATTCTCTCGGACGTCGTTTTAATAGGAAAATTTTAATAGGAAAATTATCGCCAAAATTATTGTTCATAAGATTAAATAACAATGCTCGGGGAAAACAAAACGACTGGAACAGCAAACTGATTTGTTAAGAGTATTCATTTCCGGTTGCGCCAAGAACATTTTTTCCGCGTAACGATCCGAGTCGAAATTTTAATTCCTGGTTCTTTAATTATGTTCTACGTTAAGTGTTCAAAGGTTTTCTATTGTGCTCCATTGATGCTGCGAATGGGGAAGTTATTGCCATTGAAGGAGCACTTATTGTGACTTGAAGACTTAACGTAGAATTTAAAGTTTCGACTCGGCAAATTTGTTTGCTGTCATATTGTATTAACAAACAATTCGTTATCCCGGCAAAATTTCTCCCCCGTGCGTAAGAAAGAAAAAGAGGGCGTGGGAGGAAGGAATATCGACAATTTCGAGATAATTGAGTCGGACTCTCTCGCTGACTAATTAATAATCGTCGGCGCGCCCTGGTCTGAACGATCGGAACCCGCGTGAAAAATAAGAGAAGGAAGAGGGTTTAAGTCACGGGAATTATATATGGTGGTAAACGCAACGCGCGATCGCTCCATGGGGAATGTGACGTGGGCGATGCTTCTTATCTCGGGGTGCAGCTGGCCCTGTTCACCGGAGTGTATACACTTCGTCGACTTAAAATACGATCGACCTACTTCAGATTATTTCTCGACATCCGCCCTCCCCGCGCAAACGACACAGAACCCCCATTCCTCGGGAGAAACTGCGTAGGAAAATATTTATATTTTCCTTAAAAAAAGAAAGAAGAGAGAGCGAAGAAAAAGACATCTCTAATGCGGCACGGGAAACTCCGTCTGTTCCGCGGTCATTCGGAATCCACGGAATATATATAGGCCGACGTTATAAATATTGATCGATTTTTTCACAAGACTATATAAAAATAAATCACGGGCGAATCGGTGTGACGTTCGTTTCGCCGGCCGCGGTCGTATTTACGCTTTAAAGCGAATCACTGCGACGCGCGTTGTTACTATGATTGTCCCGTCCACATTATCACTGATTATTGTTATACGTCGTTATTTATTGATCAACATTTGCATTGCTACCGCGACTCTTTCGACTCAACCAACGGTCGCAGACCCCGTCGCACGCGCGAGCGCGTTTTGTTTCCTTTCTCTCTCTCTCTCTCTCTCTCTCTCTCTCTCTCTTTTTCTCAGTTTACCTGTCCGATCTCGAGTAAGTTTCTCACCTTATCCACGGGACACCTCCGATGCGGGGGACCCACTTGTCCGTCCGTTCGGCCAGCTTGCTGAAACTTTTCTTCGAAATTCGTTTTTCCGCGGCACGTGGAAAACTCTCCCGGGCGTAACGGACGAAACAATTTCCATGCGATTGGAAACGAGCGAGAGCCCCGGGACTGCGCCCGGGCGACGCGGGAGACGGACGAGATTACACGAGGAACGGATTTTACAATTGCAAATTGTCAATCCGCACGGCAATCCGCCGTCTTAATTAACAATTGGCCCCGCCGCCGCCGCCACCGAACTCGGTTTCCCGTCTCTCCCTGCCTGCTCTCCCTCCCCTCCCCCGCGATTTCCTCTCTTACCGGGGCGACCGAACGCAGCGCGCGAGAACTACCCCCGCGTGCGTCGACGCGCCCTTACGTCTCTCGTTTCTCTCTTTCTCTCTATTTCGCGTTTTGCCATTTTTTCTTTTCTTTCAGTCCACTCCCCCTGTCGTTCTTTGCGCGCCGGCCGAAGGGCCGTGCAAAAAGTGCGCGCGCGAAACGATTCGCGAATCTCGTTATCGGCGACGAGGGCAGCGCGCTCGCGCTGCTCCCCGGGACGCAATAAAATCGCAATCGGCGAGACGAAAGTCAAAAATGCGATTACGCTCTTAATCCTTTAAACGTCCGCGCGCCCGTTCCCTCCGCTCTCGTCGATTTCACACGAAAATGCATATTTCCGCGACGGGGCCTTAATCATTTAAACATACAATCCTTTGACGAATTCTTTTTCAGACGGTATCTTCTTGCTTTCCTGCTTTTCCTCTCTCTCACCTTTTGCGACCGGGTTTCGAGGGCGCCCGCGAATCTTCCTCTCTGGTACCGCTTGTGGTCGGAGCTGCCGCGTTTCCGAAAGCGTCGGGCGGTTTTAAAATACGCGGTTAATTTCCCGGGATATTAATTTCTCGTCCGATCGAGAATATCGCTAGAGAGAGAGGAAGGGGGCAAACTCTCGGGGGAACAAAAGGCAGTGAGATCGAGGCTGTTGTCTTTCTGAAAGCATATAACCGGACTTTCTACGTCTGAAATATAAAAAGAGAATATAATACTGAAATACTTTCCCACTGAAATATTTTGCACGAACGTCTTTATTTCTCTCGTTGGGTAATAAATATCATAGAAAATCGGGGGTGGGAAGGGGGGGGGATATATATAGAGCGAAAGGGGGAGGAGAGAGAGGTAGAAACAGAGATTATAAAAAGGCACACACGCACACAATACGTACGTCAGCGCAATTTAGTTCTTTAATTGTTGTCAGTCGGGTTCGAAATACACTAGTCGATTTTTATTATAATTATTATTGTATGTATATGTGTGTATATATCTATATATCTATATATATATATATATACATATATATATATATATATATATATGGTACTCTTTTTCGGTATAAATAATACATAATACAACGATCAAATAATGACCATATCCTCTCTCTCTCTCTCTCTCTATCCCTCTCTGCCTTTCGAATCGCCATAGAAAAGGAAAGGAAAATTAATCCAAGTATCATAGTACACCCACGTCCGTTGGTACTTGCCCGTGGCTCGCCGTGAGAATTCCGCGTGTGGTGGTGAAGGTGAAGGTGGTGGTGGTGGTGGTGAGAGAAAACACATACGAGTGAGGAGAAAGAAAACGGACGTGGTGATCTCCGATTTCTCACAGCGAGTTTTACGGGGGTGAGAAGAGGGAGAGCGGGTCGCTCGCGCGCGCCCTCCCTCGCCGAAGAGGGACCGAGCGGGAGAGAGGGAGAGAGGACTCCGCCGCGTCTTCCGTTATCAGGGAACGCGAAATTAGCGCCGATAATTCCGCCGCCACGCGCGCTCTGTACATTGCACACCCACACTCGCTCACGTACATATTCTCGCGCGCGCACACGCATACACACACACACGCACGCATACGGAAACCGATAATAGTAATGGTAATAGATCGATCGCTCGCGCGATCGATCGATGACGCTCGGTGTCGAGCGATCGCCGCGATTGCGGGCGTCTTGATTGCGACACATCGACAATCAGGACACGGTGCGGTGCCTGCCTCCCCCTTCTTCCCACCCTCTCCCCCTAACCTCCTACTATAACGGTGCGTCCTCTACGATATACTCGCTACTGTACAACAATACGGCTATTGCGAAACGCATGACTGTACAACTTACCGTGAACTAAAGCGCGCGCGCGAAATCATCGTCCGCGACGACGAGCGTTATGCGTCCGATGGAAATGGGAAAGGGAATCTTCGTTTTCTCGCGATTTTCTTTCTGCTCGGACTCCTGTCCGGAGACTATTGGAACTGCGTGAGAGCGAACCCCGGTCGAAGTTTCAGTTCTACGTTAAATCTTCGAGAAGAAGAAAACGGAAATATTTTAATTAATTTTAATTAATTCTATTAATAGTGCTCCTTTGTCGCTACAAAGGGAACTTAAACTTCTCCGGAGGAAATTTAAAATTCTACATTAAGTCTTCAAGTAGGGGAAACGGAGATTACTTTCCAATTGTAGCGTCAAAAGAGCACAAGAGAAAACCTTGGAAGATCTAATTAGGTTTAATGCAGAACTGAAATTTCGAAGGCTCGAGGAGCCTGAATCAAAATTTTCAGTTTTACATTAAGTCTTCAAGGAGAGGAAACCGAAGTTACGTTCCAGTATTCATCAAACGAGCATGATAGAAGACCTTCGAGACGACTTAATGTAGAACTAAATTAGGCTCAAAGTAGGACTGAAATTTCGACTCGGGAACAGAAATCTTCGGTTCCGATGCGTATTTTCTCATAGATTTTCATCGGGACTTTTAGTTACTCAGAGACTTGGATTTTCCGAGAATTTTACTTATATATTTTCCAGACCTGCGAATCCCCGAATTCGCGTGTTATCGCGATTTTAACGTGTTCTCGATTTGCACAGAATCACTCTTTGGACTCGTGTTTACCCCTATTAATCCCTTGTCGAAGATCTCGGTCGAAGTGACGTGTTAACGAGGGAAGTGACACCGCGAGGTGTGCTGTGGCGGACGCGTAACGCGCGTGTACGCGCCGTACAATAAACGTAAAACCTACAGCTATGGAAGATCGGCGTCCTGATCGTCGCGTGTTACCCCCTTGCGCATTATCCCTCGACACCTCGGTCAACAAATTAACTCGCGCTTCAGTCCCCTCCTCCTCCTCCTCTCCCTCCACTCCCTCGCATCCGTCGTCGTCGCCGCGCGCATACTATGTATAATGTTTCTCCCTTTTATAATAATTAATTCTAAAAAACGCGTGTGTGTGGTGAAGGTGAGGTCCTCTAATACATCTAAGATGCACACCCATGCTTATTTTAATGCTCCGTTAAATTTAAATATGTATGCAGCACAGTAGACTATCATTTTTTTTTTCCTCTATTCGTTAATGCGCGTGTACATGTGAGACGGTGTGTTCGTGTGTTCGTATGTGTGTACGTGT